GATCTAAAGCAAGCTTTACTAGTTTGAAAATCTTAATCAACTTTTCTGTCAACTGAATATTGGGAATTTAAACTTTATTTGGTACGATTTCCCTAATATAAAATCACACATCAATAACTATATTATTTCTTTTGTAAACAGCTCATGTTTTTTGTAATATAAATTATGCCGGTTAAATATGATTTATTTTAAAATAAAAAATAAAAACAGTTTTGAAAACTCATAAAAATGTATTAGCTTCGGTCAACTTTTTTCTTTCCTTTTTTTTTTTTTATTTCAAGATGTAAATTTATTTTAGCAATTCATTTTTTTTTTTTTTTTTTTTTTTTTATTTTTTTTTATTTTTTTTTTTTTTTTTTTTTTTTTTTTTTTTTTTTTTTTTTTTTTTTTTTATTTTTTTTTTTTTTTTTTTATTTTTTTTTTTTTTTTTTTTTTTGGATGATGGAGACATTATCTTAAGTATTTTTATTATTTTAAAAAATATTCTTTTATATATTCATTACTTTTTAAGTACTTAATCCCAAAATTTAAAAAAACCCTAAACTATTCGGTAATATAAATTTATTGAAATAACACACCTGGTGAGAAAGAGACGTCGCTTGAATTTTTTGGAGCTTATACTTCCCAACAACCCTGCTACTTTTCGGTGTTCTTCCATACCTAGCATTAATAGTTGATAAAATTAAAAGTATTTGCATGACATCTTTAAGCCACTAAAGTATACGAGACCCCGTTCTGGTTCTGGTAATGTTTCGTTGCTGCAACCATGTACTGGCATTTTTGCAACGGTTGGGGGTATGATGTTGCTATTCTAACAGCTCCTAACTGATGCTAGGGAAGCCTTGAAGCTTTCGACTGATGTCGAGTTCACAGTGGAATCGTTCAGGTGGTTCCATGCTATTATTGTGCGTGGGAAGAAAGATTGTTGATACTGCACTGTGTTGCACTGAGGCACTTTGAAGCATTTACAATTAATGTAATTGTTTATGGGAATGTCAGTGCTGAAGTCTGTGTTCAGTGACCATGTTGCTCTGATCAGTCTACACGGCTTCTGTGGGGTGAGGTACGTGTCTACTGGGATGGCCGGCACCAGTCCCATGATCACTTTATATAAGAATATCAGGTGGAGTCCCTCTCATCTGTCTTTAAAAAGGGGGGGGGGGTCAAATCTTTTTAAGAGGCCAGTGACAAAGCCAGGAGTGGTGGATTTGTAGTCTCGTGCGATAAAACGCACCGCGTTACGTCGAATTCACTCCATCTTGTCCATGTCTTGCTTGAGGTGTGGGTCCCAGATGATCGCATCATATTCCTGTAGACGGACGGACGAGTGCGAGATTGGCATTCCGTTTGCAGGAAGTTGGGCAGTGGCGCAGATTTCTTCGGATGAAACCTAGTGTGGAGTTGGCTTTTTTTTAAATTTTATTTATATGGGCTGACCATTTTGTGTTTTGGAGAAGAGAATTCCAAGGTATGGATTATTGGATACTTGTTGGAGGATTGTCTTGTTTAGTGAGTAAATATGTGTTGATGGTGCAGCTCGTCAAGTAACACCTAAAATCTTAACTAGCATCTCTCCCGTTGCTCTCCGCTGCTCTCCAGTTAACTGTACAATTACGCAAATTTAAAAATATCCGTGTTCAAAAATGCATTCTAGTATTTTGGATTGATCGAAAGTTTTCCGGAGACCTTAAAGATTTAAGGCTAGGCAGTATCTAATGATAAAAAAAGCATGTCTTTCAGGGCTCCCAACTTGATTGAATTTAGTTAATGGTGGGCTGGTGGAAGAGTTAGAGATGTCTTTTATTATTACTATTTTTTAGCGCTTCCCACCCAAAAGTCTAAAATACATTCATCAGTCACGTTGCATCCCATGTAGGGCCCCGGTCTGCTCCACCACATCCTTCCATTCAGATCGACCATGTTCTAGTAGGGTATGTTGCAGACTGTATGTTGCTGGCATATGTGCAAAGGTTGGGGATGCGATGCTGCTATTTTAAGGGCTGCTAGGGCAGTTTTGAAGCTCTCGAGTGACGTCGAGTTTACGGCGGTATTGTCCAGGTGGTTCCAAGCGATGATTGAGGGGACACCTGCCCCCGCTTTTGTTCAAGACTAATTTAATCTTTTGGCAAATTATTATCTTGGGCGCACCACAACCAGAAAAAATGTAGTTTATGTATGGCACTGGGCGCCATAATGCCTACCCCGACGCTTGAATGATGATCTCCTCTGATCAAATAGTCTTATCAAAACATTCAAATCATATCTGCTCCAAAACGCACCTCTTGATTTTTAAATGATCACACATTTTCTGATGAGGGAAAAGCCATCTGGATGCTCGATTTCTCATCTACTTCCTGAAAAAAAATGGAAGTATTGCTTGCCCTGACAACCAATCTTTGTGCCGATATATATACTGCCCCCCCCCCAACCTTTTTTTTCTTCTGCGTCACTGGCATGAGTGTTTGGTGCCAGGGGGGGGGGGATAAGACTCCAGTTACCCCCCCCCAACTCTAAAAACCATTTTTTCATCCATTAATTCAATAAAATAAAAACCCATTGGGGCGCCCGAAAATATTCCCCCCCCTGTCAACCTTTGCTACCTCTCTTTCCACTGGCACAGCCCCCCTCCCGAAATATAAAACATCCCTCCACCACCCGGAGGAAATTGTCTGATAGAGACACAGCTCACAAGCTCCAACACCTTCTGCAGGCCCTGCATCTCTGATAGAGACACAGCTCACAAGCTCCAACACCTTCTGCAGGCCCTGCATCTCTGATAGAGACACAGCTCACAAGCTCCAACACCTTCTGCAGGCCCTGCATCTCTGATAGAGACACAGCTCACAAGCTCCAACACCTTCTGCAGGCCCTGCATCTCTGATAGAGACACAGCTCACAAGCTCCAACACCTTCTGCAGGCCCTGCATCTCTGATAGAGACACAGCTCACAAGCTCCAACACCTTCTGCAGGCCCTGCATCTCTGATAGAGACACAGCTCACAAGCTCCAACACCTTCTGCAGGCCCTGCATCTCTGATAGAGACACAGCTCACAAGCTCCAACACCTTCTGCAGGCCCTGCATCTCTGATAGAGACACAGCTCACAAGCTCCAACACCTTCTGCAGGCCCTGCATCTCTGATAGAGACACAGCTCACAAGCTCCAACACCTTCTGCAGGCCCTGCATCTCTGATAGAGACACAGCTCACAAGCTCCAACACCTTCTGCAGGCCCTGCATCTCTGATAGAGACACAGCTCACAAGCTCCAACACCTTCTGCAGGCCCTGCATCTCTGATAGAGACACAGCTCACAAGCTCCAACACCTTCTGCAGGCCCTGCATCTCTGATAGAGACACAGCTCACAAGCTCCAACACCTTCTGCAGGCCCTGCATCTCTGATAGAGACACAGCTCACAAGCTCCAACACCTTCTGCAGGCCCTGCATCTCTGATAGAGACACAGCTCACAAGCTCCAACACCTTCTGCAGGCCCTGCATCTCTGATAGAGACACAGCTCACAAGCTCCAACACCTTCTGCNCCTTCTGCAGGCCCTGCCTCCCCCCCCCCCCCTTTTTCCCCCGAGTAGCCTAGTGTAAGCCGCCCCCCCCCATACACACACCCAAACTTTGGGGCCCTCCATAAAGTATGTCACGCTAATTTTGACCATTTTTACCCCCCTCCTCCCCCCGGTCACAAACTGTCACAAATCTCGGACCCCCCCCCCCTAAAGTACGTCACACTTTCGAAGAATTTTTTTAAAAAATTAACACCTAATTAAAATTTAATCTAAAACACACTTATCTATTAACTGTATTAACATATAAAATTTCCACTTAAAAGAACTATCACATTATTAAAATTACTTTAATAGTAGAATAGGTAGTTGTCAACAGTTGTCACAGTTATTCATTGAAGCAGTAACTCAATCTAGATTGAATTTGAAAACAGAAATTGCAAAAATTAGACTAGACAATTATATTATACACATCATTTATCTGCTGCTTTTTCATTTACAAATGTTGAGGTCAAGTTTTAGATAATTTCCGATTATGCAATCTTTTTTACACAGTATAAGAAGTAAATTAGCAAAACTTGACCTCACCCAGTAATTAAATAATTAAAAGGAAACAAAACAATTTGACTAAAAAAAAAAAGACTAGATTGACAAATTATGTGACAAACTCTTGTGCTATATTGAATCTGTTTATTATGGGCCTATGAATTATGTTAAAAAATATTCACTGGACATCATCCATCCATGGTGAAGTGAAGTGTCATCCATAGTTAAGACTGGCATTAATCTTTCACCATCATCGTTTCCTGGAAGGATAATTGCAGACAGATCAACTTCATCCTCATCTAGCCACTCAGCATCCTCTGAATGTGCATTTTCTCTCCTGGCAATAACTGCCATGAGTTCTCTTTGCCTTCTAGCAGCGATTCTCAAAGGACGGATGCGTTTTATCTGAGTTGATTCTGGAACAGTTTGGGTTGGCATCAGGGGTGGACTGGGCCGCCGGGACACCGGGAAGATTCCCGATGCGCCGCTAGGACCAGTGATATAATAAAAATAAAAGTCATGAAGATAGGGCCGCTTTTTCTTTTTTTTCCTGGGCCGCTTTGATTTTTTCCGGGCCGCTTGAACGCCCCAGTCCACCCCTGGTTGGCACATTCTCCCGAGCCCGAGCTCTGAGTTGTCCTGCATGTTTCTCGACATTGTGAGGCAAATTATAAGTGACATACTTTGCAATTTCGATCAAGTCAGCTGGTCTGCAAAGATGGACCATAAAGATCATTTAGTTGTTCTTTGAAAACTCCTGTTGATCTCGGCAAGGCAATACATAAAACAAGGCTTCGAAACAGTATACTAGCGCTCCTAGCGAGAGGAATCGTGAACAACACATTCAGGAGATACGCATTTCATCATACTAAAAAAATAAATGTGTGACGTCACACATGGCCTGACCCCCCCTGCCCCCTGTCACAAACTGTCACACTTTCTTACACCATTTTCTCCCCCCTCTGGAGCGTGACGTACTTTATGGACGGCCCCTTTTGCAACGCAAACTGTGCAAGCCAACCACAAGAGTAAAGGTAAGGATTTTTAAAATTATTATTTGCTGTAATTTATCACAAGAGTAAAGGTAAGGATTTTTAAAATTATTATTTGCTGTAATTTATCACAAGAGTAAAGGTAAGGATTTTTAAAATTATTATTTGCTGTAATTTATCACAAGAGTAAAGGTAAGGATTTTTAAAATTATTATTTGCTGTAATTTATCACAAGAGTAAAGGTAAGGATACTAGTTACCCTAGCTAGTATGAGGCCTATGTGCTCCATTTGTTTGTAAACATTAGTTAGCCACATTGTTCAAGGTTCTCTTTTTATATTTTATTTTGACGTTTACACTTTATTTCTGTACATGTGCTTCATGTGAGTGACGTAGTTGCTTATGTACGTGGGTTCCACATAAAATTACACACACACACACACACACTCCTGTCTTTGTAGACACCCCCCGATAAAAGCCTTCTACACTACACAAATTTGAAAGGGAAAAAAAAGGGGGGGGGGGTGACAGATATTTTACGCCTGCCACTTTTTTATTGAATTTCACGAATGTATCCCTAAATCGATCCCTTTGCCTAACCTGAACCCTAAATCGATCCCTAAGCCTAACCTAAACCCTAATTCACTGTAACTATAATAAAGACACAAAAGACGCCGTGGCAGCCGTCCTCGATTTTAGCCCATATTTATTATCTTACCAAACGTAATTTAGTAATTACGCACTCGATTATCAGAGATTCCAGATGTTTCAAACAAATTAAATGGTGTTTTAATTATGAATAACAGACTTGGTCATGATTACCGGTAGTCATAGGAAGATGCGTATAAATTGTATAATGTGAAAAATCATTATGATACATTTACTATTATTTACTAAAAATAAAAATTGCTACTTCAATATCTAAAAGTAAAAGAAAGATAAAAATATCGTTCTGTTTTGTTCGATTACGTGCCGCCGTCGCTTTTCGGCTGTCCAGTATAATTTTTAACCGAAAATCAACGGCAACTTCCTTTTCCGCTATTTACCTCTAGTGGTATAGCTTAGCTAAACAAGGTACGACTTAAAATTGTTTAACATCTATAATATTATATCATTTTAACACACTAAACATATCTTTTGATCATCATCTTTCATATCTTGTAAACATCAATGAAATATTACATCTTTAAAATTATACTGCAGCAATTTAAATTGCATTTCATTATTATATCGATAATGGGTCATTTCTCATTTTTAAGTGTTGTAGATGCACACAATTCCCCCTTACAACATTTAGAATAAACCCATTGTATCGTTGAGTGTTAAAAACATGTAGTTATAAAGCTGTAAATACCAACTACCAGAATACACTGAGCTCCTAAATAATGTCTTGTGCCACTGCCAGAAGAAATCTTCGACCTAGTCTCAAATGATACAATCAATAGGGAAAAAAAAACAAAGATTTTCAAACAGGACCAGGCTAGTCATTGGGGATATGGAAAAGGATTGGAAGTGGGGATAAATGAGATAAATAGGGATCAACCTTCATAAACTTTGTGGATAAAGTATTCTGTATTAATCTTATGAGGTTGAAACTGAAACAAACTCATCACTATTGGTCTTTATAGTCTATGGGTTCAAGTTAGCCCTATTAAATAAAAAACAACTTAATTAGGCCTACTAAGTCTAAAAATTCAATGTTCATGTTGGCCAGTCTTAACTTGCCCTACTAAGACTTACGCAGGAAGCCCTATTTTTGTAAACAACTGTTTTTATAATTACAGATGGGAGTCTCTGTGAAAGATGTAAATGCCCATGAGTTTACAAGAGCTCTGGCTGATTTTTTGAAAAGGTAGGATAATTTGCTTTTAAAATGTTTATGCTAATTAAAGAAAACTTAATTGGTGAAAATGAGATTTCCTGGTGCACCATGTACCATAGTAGTCATTATTACCTGACCGGTGGCGATGACTACTATGATTTATTGAGGTTCTCGGGTTTACTTATGGCATTAGTCTGTATTCAGAGTATTTTGGGCCATGTCAAGCTATGTACTTCCTTGATAAAAATTTTGGCTATCTACGGCATGGCAGCGGCAATGACCCGTCCAAAATGCAGGAATATTAAAATATAATTAACCAACCATTGAAATTTTAATTTAAAACATTCCATTGTCATATTAAGGACAAGTTAACTTTAGTAACAACACAAAGATAAACAAAAAGGAGAGAATTGTACACTGACACGTGGTGAGGAAATTTCCTTCATTTTTTATATTTGTCTTGAAATTGGGGGCTAGAGGTCTACCCTCCCCATAAAATATGTTGAAGTGTTCCGTGTAATGGCTATGTAATTTAAATGAATGGCATAGAGGTAAAAAAAAAAAATTCCAAAGTCAAAATTAGTTTGGCATTGTAAGCCACTTTTTTTTTAACCCACGCCTAAGGTTATCTTTCAAATCTTAACTATTCACCTTACTGCGATTGTTGGCTTACCCCTTAAGTGACGTCTCTGCACCTTGGGTGAGAATATTCTTGTCATTTCCTGTCTTAACTAGACAGAGGTTTAAAATTATCCAGGGCACTACAGACTTCAGTCCCTGTGGGACCCTGGCCTGCTCTACCGCATGCTTCCATTCGAATCAAGTCACAGCTTTCTGCCTCCATGAACGAACCACAGTCTCAGTACTCTTTTTAGGCTGAAATAAGAATGATTGCCTGCTGTTATCCTTTCTTTCACCACAATCATTATTTTGTTGTGCTCAATTATAGTCGCCCCTAGATTCTTTAAAGTGGCCACTCTCTCAAACATATGAACATAGTTGTTTATATTGTTTTAAGTATGCGTGTTTCATGACATCTTATATTGTGTCTTCGCTTCTTTTACATCAAGACCAGCTTTGACCGAGGCGTCAAGTTCCCTTAATTATATTATTGCTGTTTCTGCTCTGTGCCAGGTGCTGTGATTGTTGGCTATATAAAATTCCTGATGGTTATTCTGTAATAATCTCTGGGAGTAGTCTGTAATGGTTCCACTGGTGCTCACATGTATGTTTCTAATGACCTAACAAGATGTTGAACAGTTTATATGATAGTGAATCTCCCGGTCTGCGGCCCTGATTAACTCCCTCAAATACTCTCCCTGTACTTTGTGTGATTTTACTTTACTAGAGTTGTCCATCGTCATATGTATGAGCAAGGTAAGTTTAAGGACTTCCAAAATCCTGTAGAGCATCATACAGATATTTCCTTTCTATGCTATAATAAGCTGTTGATGTTGTATTATCCGTGGTTGATTCTGTCGGAATCCACATTGATAGTCCCCTAGGGTCTGTTCACAATACCTTTCCATTTATTTGCTATTACTATTTGTTTAGTGGAGATTTTCAAAGTTGCATTAAGTAAGGGAATTCCTCTATAATTTGAGCAATCCAGCTTAGACCAATTTTTGTGAATTGGGATTATGAGTTCAGTACTGCAAGATTCTGAATATGAGGTCTTGTATTTGCCTATGCAGTTCTTTTTCATCTAGTTTTATCAGTCCTGCAGTGATAAAGTCTATTCTATTCCTGGGCTTTATTTTTCATGGTAAAGAATACATCTGTAGGTTGATTGACCAATGGGTCTGGTCCTACTTGTGGTTGAGCTTTATCATTTGTTCCTCCTCCTGAGCCATTTATCATGCCTTCAAAGTGGTGTGCCTATCTCTGTAGTATCCTCCTAATGCTCTCTGTGATCAGATCTTGCTTGAAAGCCATTCGAAAGCCGGTTTACCTTCAGGTTTGAAAACACACTTATTATGCTTTCAAATGAAAATTATGTATGGCAAGAATGGGGTACCAGGGTCAAATGTGGAGGGGGTGGTGTGTTACTTACTACTGTAACTATGCTGTAATAAATACTCCCAGAAACCCCCTTTGTAGATCTGGGATTGCACCCAATTGATATACTGAATATATATCTTATATGTTCAATATCGGCAGCATTTCCCACAATGACTAATAATTACAACATATTAGTTTGGCATTCAGTATACTTTCCCTGTAAGCCTGATTTCATATGTAGATGATATATTTTTTTGTGTAACGGTCGTTTGGTTCATTTTTCTTTGAAAAAAACATTTGGTGACTGTTCATCAAAGTGGGGTCTAATGTAATTAACATTTTGTCTGAAGCCTGCAGTTAAACCAAGGGTCAGCAGCCTTTTTTGATTGAAGAGCCATTTTATATATTACATATGCAAAGAAAGTATTGTGGGACTTGATTAGAATACCACTTACCACCACCTAGCGTCATATTTTACTTTTGAGAATGCACTGAATTTAGTTACTAAGTTAAAGCAAATGTTACCAAGTTTGCCCTTTTTTTATAGTGTAGGCTAAAAATGATTGAGCTATTCATTCTGCGGCTCTGGAACTGCAGAGCAAAGTTTACAAAGCTTAGCAGCAGCATGTTCATTTGTCTTTCAAGTTTTGAACTCCTCACTGACATTTATTTTCAAGCCTTTGTTTATTCAGACAGATCTGTTTAGTCAATATTTCTTTTTGTTGACTAATCCGTTAAATTTCATATTTTAGAACTGGCAAAGTCAAGGTTCCAGAATGGGCAGATATTGTCAAGTTAGGACGCTTCAATGAGCTCAGCCCATATGATGAAGATTGGTTTTACATTAGAGCTGGTAAGTTTTACTTTTTACAATTAAAATTTATTTTTCGGAATAGTCTAAACGAAAAAATTGTTTTCTTTTCAAATATACTCAAAAAGAAACAATCTAGTAAAAAAAAATCTGAGTTTGTAGTTAAAAATATTTTTATGTACCCGGTAAGGCAGTTCTGCTGTTAGACAGTGAATTAAATCAATCATTATATACAAAAAAAATTATGGATTCCATAGCAATTTAACAGCAAAATTTCTTTAAGTTTAAGATAAAGGTACTAGAATACAAATGTTTTACATATCTGCTTATAGTAATAATATCCTAGACCCTCGTTGCTGGCATCATGATAATGGTCAGTTATATTTTTCTTTCTGTTTAAAAAAAAACTAATTTTAGCAGTTTTAATTATTTCATTTAATCTTTTAAACAAAAAAAGTTAATGTTTACTATTTATACTTGGTGCCAGATGACAAATGTTTGATGCCCTGCATTTGTCCTTGGTTCTAACAATCATTTTATTTTATTCAAGTATGATATAATTTTAACCGTATTATTTATTTTGAGTCCTATTTTTAGTATGTTATAAGTGCAATGTAAATTTAATTCAGTGTTTTTGTATTAAACTATGATTAATTTTTTTTTTTCAGCTTCTGTTGCTCGCCACCTTTATATTCGTGCACCATGTGGAGTTGGAGCACTGAGAAAACTTTATGGAGGTAATAATTTTACCCAGAGATTCAGGTTAAACTAGTATTTTAACTTTTTTCCTGCCTTGGCTTGTTCTCAATTCTAGCAATGTGGACTTACTTCCAGGAACTTTTATTGGTTAGCTAAACATGGCTTTGCCAAGAAATTGAAAGGATTTTTTCTATATATTATATTGTCGAGATTAAAATCATTGCAATTATTTTTGTAGGCAATCAGCGTAATGGGACAACACCAAGCCACCACTGCCTTGCTTCTGCAACTGTTGCCCGCAAAGTGCTCCAGGTTTTGGAGTTCCTGAAGATGGTCGAAACTGATGCAAACTCTGGGTAAGTCATTCCAATGATTTTTTAAAAATTTTCCTGTACATTTTTCAGCAGGCGCTTCAGTTCTTCATTATGAGGTTGTAATAATTGATATTCCAATATAATTATAAGGCATGTCATAACTTGATTTCAATGTACCACATCAGTGATTAGTCAGGATTGTCATCCAGTTATCTATAACTAAGTCTCAACTGAAAGTTCACCTAATTCATTATCATTGGCATTTTCTTTTAGGTAGCAATCATCTTCATTACAATGCCTGAAATGATTATTTTTAAAAATTGCTACGGGTCCTGCTCTCTATTGTATGTCCTATGTTTTTTAGGTGGCTGGCTGGTGCAAGTCAAGCTAACCTTTAAGTTAAGAATAGCTGGTGAAAAAATTGGAATAAACAAAGAATATTAATGCATTTTATTTGCTTACATTTTTTTTTCTATTGTCTAACTGGTTTCTTCCCTTTATTTTCCTAGCGGCAGACGTCTTACTGCACAAGGTCGCCGTGATTTGGACAGAATCGCCAGCCAGATTAAAGGGGGTGGCAAGAAGGCTCAGAAATAAAATGTTATAATTTATGATGAAAACTAAGTCTTTTTTGATTTTTTTAAAAATCCTGTTTGGTTGATTGTGCAATTAAATTTCTTGTTTTGTGGAATTGTATATTTTATTATTAAATTTTTTAATGTTGTTATGCAGATTTGGCAGGCTTTCAAAATAGATTGATCACTTTGTATTCAAGAGGAAAATAGATTGATCACTTTGTATTCAAGAGTTGTTAATGATATACGTTAATTGGATGGTTGATAATCATTTGCCTCACAGTAACTGTACTCAGAATTAATTTAACAATTCCCTGAAATAGAGCTAGGCTTCATTGGGGCAGAACCATGAAATGTAACCAGAATCTCAAAATTTAACTTAGAAAGTTGTGCATTTTTTTGCAAAATTCCAAGTCTCAAATTTTGAGTGTAATTTTAACACCTATCTCCATGCATAACTTTTGGCACTTGCACAGTGTAATTATTCAGTTATTTTTGTGTAGTATTGGTCTACAGAAATATCGAATTCAATGGTTTTTAAGGGTTGTCACAAGGATGTAAATAACAATCATTAAAAAATGGACAAAAGCACAGTTTCACAACATGAAAAGGAAGACAATACAATAAGTTAATTTAATTCATTTTCCAAATAGCTTGAAAAATGTCTTTGATAATGAAAAGAATTTGTGATGTTTAGAATTTAAGTTAATTTAACATGTAAAGTTTACGTGAATTGCAATTCTTAAACAATGAAAGTATTGTGCAGGCACTAAAATGGTGCATTTCCAACATGGCTTTCATTATCAAAATGAGTGCTGGGTACCAGTAGTATGTAGAATTAGAAATTCAGAAATAGTCATGATTATATTATATGACAACACTATTAGTACAGTATCAGTATTAATTAACTAGCCTGTTTCTTTTAATGCAGGAACATTTATTTACACTGGTGTGGGGGAAATTTATGCATCAAGTTCAACAATCTGTGGTAGTTCTAGCATTATGAATCATTGAATGTAATAGTACCGTAATAGTTTTAACTCAGCGTTGCGTAAAGTTAGCCATATATAAAAGTGACAAGCAAATTACACAAGTACCGTAACTAACATTAATATTACGAGCATCATGGATTTGCTGACAAACTGCTGTTTTCTCTTGTGCTGCTCTCTAGGCTAAACATTACAAACTCAAAAGATGTCTCAAGTCCCCTGATATCGGTGCCGGTACATTTAAAACAAGTACAAGATGTCAACTACCTCTTGTTTGTCATCGATACCGGGTATTTAATCAACTACCTGGTATTACATATTTAATATAATTACACACTCAAACTAAATCTCAATACCGGTAAGATAAATTTTGTTCGCGCAGATTTATGAAATCCGAAAAGGCGTGGAACATGATGAAGCTGCTAACTGCTATTCAACAACTAGCTTCATAAAATATATTACAACAAACTGAAGTACGGTACCGGATACTGTTTCATCTTTTTTTTTACTTTTACTATTAAACTTTCTATGCATCAAACGAAAGGACAGCATCTGCTCTTTCTTATGGTGGTAGAATTATTGCGATAACTCAAATACACGCGAAGCCGTGGGCGTTTGAAACACCTTGGGGTCAACCGGTACTCGCGAAAACGCCGTCAAATGGGTCCCAACTGATACTTTTCAAACACAGAAAAAACACTTTCAAACACATGTTACGGTCATGCAAGTAACACATGTCGCCAGATAAAGACTTAAACTTTCACATATAAATTTTATTGCTGTATCGCTACTATACTACTAGAAAAGGATTCATTATTTTTTTGAAAACTTCGAAAAATGACCCTAAAACGCATTTTTTCTTTAGTTTGGACTACCTACTTTTACTACTGTACTGGTACCATAACAATGTTAACATAATGGTAACTCGTGTCTAGGGAAGATAACAGGCCGCAGTTTCTTTCCTTACAGGAACAATGGTTATTCCCCATGGGACTCCTGGTTCAAACGGGCTTGGAGATTTGTTTTAAGCTTCTACTTGTCACAATGAGTTGAAATGAGTTTATTTTGATATCGATTTCATTTTTATTTTCACATGTTATTAAGCACTCAGTGATGGTATATAAATACCTTGTGCACTGAAGGTGGGGCACTACATATAACATATTACCGGTACTAATCTGTTTCTGAATACGTCACCAATGTGATGGAAAGGGATTTTCATACTACATAAATATGAAACATGTAAAACCAAAGATTTGATCAATTTAAAGATTGGAAGGGTACATAAAATACCGGGACGTATTTATTGCCCAGAGGTCACGATGTGTTTCTAAAATCTAAAGTAAGATAATTTCCTAAACTTTAGGTGAGAAGAGTTATTTTTAATTTATTGTTTTCTCTTTTACATATTTTAATTCTGAAAACGGATTCAGTGATTTCCCGTAAGGTGTAATGGGACATTAGGTTCAGAGATACGAACCAGAGTCAGGAACGGATCCGTTCGTAAGTCGAGGTACCACTTTATATTTGTATACCCGGTAAGTATAAGCGACGCAAACATTTTTTTGAACATCGGACCCATTTTAACGCAAAATCTGATAAAAATGGAAGTCCACATAATTGTTGTGACGGTGACAGGTGGAATAAAATCTTGTTGGTCATCGTCATCATTGTGACAGGTGGAATGTATCTTGTTGGTCAACATCATCATTGTGACAGGGGGAATGTATCTTGTTGGTCAACATCATCATTGTGACAGGGGGAATATATCTTGTTGGTCAACATCATCATTGTGACAGGTGGAATAAAATCTTGTTGGTCATCGTCATCATTGTGACAGGTGGAATGTATCTTGTTGGTCAACATCATCATTGTGACAGGGGGAAAATATCTTGTTGGTCAACATCATCATTGTGACAGGTGGAATGTATCCTTGTTGGTCAACGTCATCATTGTGACAGGTGGAATGTATCCTTGTTGGTCAACATCATCATTGTGACAGGAGGAATGTATCTTGTTGGTCGACGTCATCATTATGACAGGGGGAATGTATCTTGTTGGTCAACATCATCATTGTTAAAGGGGGAATGTATCCTTGTTGGTCAACATCATCATTGTGACAGGGGGAATATATCTTGTTGGTCAACATCATCATTGTGACAGGGGGAATGTATCCTTGTTGGTCAACATCATCATTGTGACAGGGGGAATGTATCCTTGTTGGTCAACATCATCATTGTGACAGGGGGAATGTATCCTTGTTGGTCAACATCATCATTGTGACAGGGGGAATGTATCCTTGTTGGTCAACATCATCATTGTGACAGGGGGAATGTATCCTTGTTGGCCAACATCATCATTGTGACAGGGGGAATGTATCCTTGTTGGTCAACATCATCATTGTGACAGGTGGAATGTATCCTTGTTGGTCATCATCATCATTGTGACAGGAGGAATGTATCCTTGTTGGCCAACATCATCATTGTGACAGGTGGAATGTATCCTTGTTGGCCAACATCATCATTGTGACAGGTGGAATGTATCCTTGTTGGCCAACATCATCATTGTGACAGGTGGAATGTATATCCCCATTACATTTGGTCTGCACAATTCTAAGTTCATAGCCCCACCATTACTTTGATAATGAACATTTGCGTTGTATGTTATGTATTACTTTTAGACTAGTTTCAGTGTCTGCTGCAAGACATTTCTCTAAGATCTTTCTGTAAGACCTTTCACGAGATTACCAAATTTAGCAGCAGACTCTGGAGGTTATTCTTGAAGTTTGCTGTTCTAGTCATTTGTTTGTCAAAGTTTATGTAATTTGCTGTTCTAGTGATTTGTTTGTCAAAGTTGATGTAATTTGCTGTTCTAGTGATTTGTTTGTCAAAGTTGATGTAATTTGCTGTTCTAGTTATTTGTTTGTCAAAGTTGATGTAATTTGCTGTTCTAGTGATTTGTTTGTCAAAGTTGATGTAATTTGCTGTTCTAGTGATTTGTTTGTCAAAGTTGATGTAATTTGCTGTTCTAGTGATTTGTTTGTCAAAGTTGATGTAATTTGCTGTTCTGGTGATTTGTTTGTCAAAGTTGATGTAATTTGCTGTTCTGGTGATTTGTTTGTCAAAGTTGATGTAATTTGCTGTTCTGGTGATTTGTTTGTCAAAGTTGATGTAATTTGCTGTTCTGGTGATTTGTTTGTCAAAGTTGATGTAATTTGCTGTTCTGGTGATTTGTTTGTCAAAGTTGATGTAATTTGCTGTTCTAGTGATTTGTTTGTCAAAGTTGATGTAATTTGCTGTTCTAGTGATTTGTTTGTCAAAGTTGATGTAATTTGCTGTTCTAGTGATTTGTTTGTCAAAGTTGATGTAATTTGTTGTTCTGGTGATTTGTTTGTCAAAGTTGATGTAATTTGCTGTTCTGGTGATTTGTTTGTCAAAGTTGATGTAATTTGCTGTTCTAGTCATTTGTTTGTCAAAGTTGATGTAATTTGCTGTTCTAGTTATTTGTTTGTCAAAGTTGATGTAATTTGCTGTTCTAGTCATTTGTTTGTCAAAGTTGATGTAATTTGCTGTTCTAGTTATTTGTTTGTCAAAGTTGATGTAATTTGCTGTTCTGGTGATTTGTTTGCATGGGGAGATTGAAGCCTAGTTGCCCTTGGTTCAGTGTTGATTGCACAAATTTGTTGCAGAGAAATATGCGAGACTCCATCATATTCATTGAAATTTCTCGTAACCAGCGATGACATGTTTGTTACTATCATGCTGCAATCTTGATGCTATCATGCTGCAATCTTGCTGCTAACTTATTACTGTCTTGCTGCTATCTTGGTGCTGTCTTGATGCTGTCGTGCTGCTATCTTGGTGCTGTCTTTCTGCTATCGTGCTGCTATCTTAGTGATGTCTTGCTGCCAACTTGGTGCTGTCTTGCCGATGTCTTGCTGCTTTAAACTGTCTTAAAACTTGCTCATCAACATCATGTCGAATTTTTAAAGTTGGATCAAACAATTGTTATCTTCTGCAATATCTCCGTCAAGCCCTATTAGTACACTTGTTATCT